CCTTCTCCTCCAGCTACAGCCTGATTCTCCCCAGTTCCCACCTCCAGCAGGACAGTGCATTCTCTGGGGGTCTGCAGAGATGGGTCGAGTTACCATGGCAGGGCAGAGCTCAGATCTGCCTAGGGCACAAAGACCCAGCCTGGCTCCCATCCCTTCTAGCCCTGAGACTGGTGGATCTCTCTTCTATGCCTGGCAGCGGGGTACTGCAGGGCTATATCAGGCATCCATCCTCCAACCTGCACACATCCTATAGGAGGGCAGGAAAGGACAAAGTATTTTGGGAATTATACATGTCCCAGGCAGGGGAAAACACACCCCACCCCCTTCCCCTTGTCTATGTACTCTTCCCAGGAAAGGGAGAGCTCTCACCTTTAGGGAGTGCAGAAAAGGTGATGACCAGCATCCAGAGGAGCATTGCAGGCTTCTCCAGAGGAATCTGCATGGTGCACAGAGAATTAGGAAAGTAATATTGTGGGACTGAGAAGGGCTCACACATTCCTCTCTTTGGGTCAGCAGAGAAATGGCCTGTCCTTCCAGCACTGAAGGCTCAGACTTCCTTGGCAGATTTGCAGCCTTTTCTGGGCACTTTGTAGCTGCAGGTACTTTGAACATGGGGGAGTTGGGTACACACGTCACTGCTGCCCTGGGTGGGGCAGGAAACCACACTTGCTTTTTTGTACTGCTCAGCCTGCACTGGAAGTGCAGGGACTTCTCTTGCCTCCCCAGGCCCCTCACCCTTGTGTCTCTGAACCTCCTGTAAGGAGCTGTGGCCCTGGAGATGACTGTGGTCATGCAGTGGCTGGGAGGGGACAGCTCCACACTGTGGAGAGGATCTTCTCCTCTGGAGTGGTATCCTCCCTCTCTCAGCTGCCTTACATGAGGGGATACGACCCCCGCCTGTCACTTCTGAGGTGTTCTACCTGGCAATATGTCAGGGATAGGAGCTGAGGTAGGGGAAAATGTCCTTCTCCCAAAGACTACTGTGTTCTGGAGAACAAATCACTCTTACAAATGCAATGTCTCCAATGTTCAGAGGAGCTTTCAGTACATATGTCAGTCTGCTTCAACTTACATACCCCAGGGGGGACCTTGCAGCATTCCAGGAACTGTCAGCCCTGGAGCTTCGAGAACATCTCAAGAGAGTCTGGTGCTCTGCTGTTGAGCTGGGACAGGCTCCTGGGTCTGAGGGAGCTCCTGGAGCCTCTGCCCAGGAGCAAAAGAGCTGAGGACACTGCCTGCAGGCTCCAAGATGAATGAGGTAGAGAGGCTTAAAAATCTGGTATGGGAGGACAGAGGAAATCCCACTGCTGGAGAAAGATTCTCGGACCTTTACACAGTAAGTCTCTCGCTGCAGTGCAATGCAGATGAGTAGTCTGGAAGTATTTCTTAGAACTGGCACATACCATGGTTTATGCAGAGGAGGAGAAGGTGCTCCTGAGCAGGCTTTCCCTGCTGCACTGTCAAAGGACAGGACACAACATCTTCCTTCTGCCAGGAACGTCTGCAGGGGTGCTCAGCCATGTGTACACCCAGAGATGGCTGGGGCTGTCCTTCAAAGCAGGGTCCCAGTGCCCCAGGAAGCTGTGTGCCAGGGCAGGGACTCCTGCCTGCCAGGGTCATGGTCAGCACCCAGCTCACCTGGACAGCTTCCCATGGCATCGCAGGAAGAAGCTCTGGGGGGCAGGAGAAACCCCTTTCAGGGTAGGTCCTGCTTTTGGGAGGGTGCTGTGTGAGTCAGGTCTGCTCACACATCCAGACAGGACATCTCTAGTAGAGACTTTTCAAGAGGAAACTCAATGCAGGGATTAGTTTAAAGTTAAGGACCTTTCTTGTGTTTTCATTTTCCTACTCTGAGGGTAGTGGAGTGAGGGGAGAGAGGGAAAAGGAGCCCTCCAGTTTGAACAAATCACTCAGATGCCTGATCTGTAACTTTAAAAGATCAGCAGATCTTCTGGGAGCCTTGTAAAGTGTTTTCAGCCACTCCTCTGCCTGTGGACAGCATTAGCATCAGCTTTGGATGCTAACAGACCCTTCAGGTTGTTTTGACCTGCCCTTCTCCATCTGCAAACATGAACATTGCCCAGCCAATGCCCTACAGAGATGGGTGAGTGCACAAAGTTTGGGATGCAGTCTGTGAGCACTGACAGGGAAAAAACTAGGGAAGGGGAAACATCTCCCAATGGAAAATCTCCAGGCAGCGGGAATATGATCAGAGTATGAGAGGAAAGTAAAAGCAGAAATGTGGGAGGGAAAATTCAGAAACTATGATCCCCTTCAAAGCACACAGCTTCCTCTGAGCAAGCTCCTTTGTCTCCTCACCAACCTTTGCCCTCAGGGCTGTGTGTTCCAAGACCTGAAACATCTCCTCTGCAGCCAGACCTTCCCTCCCTGCTATTAGGGCTACTTTCAGTGTTAGGATTTTCTCCTAAGTGAGCTGAATCTGTCTGAGATGACCTGGGGATTCTGTGGTGCACCAGCTCTGAATGAGGACAGCTGACCATGACCTGCTCTGCCCTTACGAGCTATGTGCGACAATTGTGGCAGATGGTTTTGATATCTGAATTAGGACTAAAGGCCTTTATTTGACTAATAAATTCAGCAGCTGGACTGGATTAGGTGAAGCAATGTAGGGATGTCCATGAGACTACCGCCTTTATAGTCACTGGACATCTAGTAGATACAGCTAATGGGAAAGAGAGAGACTGAACACACCCTCTCTGTGGCACATGACTCAATTTGATCAGAGAAATACCTCTATCAGCTGCCTTGAACATAACAATTGTGTTCAGAATTAGGACAAGGGACAGGTTAGCTTGTACTAAAATTTACTCCTTAATCTACATCATTGTGTTTATATCTAGCATTTCCTATTTCTCCTCCAAAAAAAGTTATTGTTCCACTGTCCCTTGTGGACATCACTACATGCAGTTTGGACTTAGCATACAGTTAAGGAGTGTTTTCCTGTTCATTAAGTTGTATTTTGTGTAACTTTTGTTTGTTTACAATGAAGAGAAATCCTCCCGTGCCTGTGTGCAGTCAGTTCTCTGAGGAAAGCAGGTGGGAGTTGGTGCAAAGGAGCTGTAACATCCCACTGAAGCTGCAGATTTCAGTGGAGAAGTCTGATGTAAGGAAAAGTGATGGAAGTCCCACAGGGCAGATAAAAGGAAGGTGATGAGGAAGTTTGTTGTTATAGTGTCTGGGCTCAAGGAGACTGCTTTTCCTGTCCACCCAGATCTCCTTAGGACACCCTCTGGATCATGTTGCTATCACTTCTGTAAAGTGAAAAATTATTATAATAGTCTTAAAAAGCAAAAATCCTTTCTTTTTAAATGGTCGTTGAAATCTTCATCATTCACTACTCCCCTGAAACCTCTCCAATTATCTGTACAATCCTCAAAGACTTGAAGAAAATTCCAGAATTTTAATGAGCCCCAGGGTGTATTTGGTTCTAAATTAGTTACTGAGAGGAGATTAAACAAATTGCTCAAGAAGACAAAGTCAGAATGAAATTCTGAAGTTTCTTGGAGTATTAATTGGCCCCACTGAGGGCCTTTACTGACAAAGCCTCTCCACGGACTCATTAATGCTGAAAACTGGAGGCAGCGATGAGAGTCAAGCAGAGGCACCATGCAGGTGGTTCTGATGCTGTGTAAAGCCTTGGGGTATTTACCAAGGCAAATGCCAAGCCCCGACTATCACTCTCCTCCTCCCCATGCATGGCTCAAGGCTCTTCCTGGGGCAATAGGATATGAGCTTTGTGATCCCAAGTGAAGGACAAAGGTATGACACCCCGCCTCCACGGGGGATCCAACGAGCTGCTCTGGTGAGGCTCCAGTGTCACGAGGACATAGAATCATATCATCATAGAATGGTTTGGGTTGCAATGGAACCTTAAAGACCACTTTGTTCCAGCCCCCCTGATGTGAGCAGGGACACCTCCCACTAGACCACGTGGCTCCAAGCCCCGTCCAACCTGGCCTTGAGCACTGCCGGGGTTGGGGCAGCTGGCAATCCACCAGACAGTGAGGGCTGACAGATTAACTCTGATCTGCAACAGCATGAATGACGACTAACTGCACAGCTCGGGCAAATAGGTAGAACTGAATGCTTTATGACTAATGCTGGTAAGACAACTAGATAAAAGAATCAGCTAACTGAGCCTGATTAAAACAAACAGAAGCCAACAAAGCATAACAAAAATGTGGCAAGCGTTGAATAGTTTATTGACAAGTGGTGTTAGAGAAATTAAAGTTTTTGAGAGGAGGTACTCAAATTCTGAAATCTTAATAAGTTAATAAATTTGCACTCTTGACAAGAAAGGAAGGAATTTACTAGTAATTTATTAATAGAATTTATTTATTTATAATTAATAATTAAGCATATAATCATAATTATATATAATATATAATAATTTGATTGATAATTAATTATATAATTATATATAAATAATAATGTATAATTATGTTTTAACCCCTAACAGATAAAAATTAGCACCCCCCAATTAATTAAAATTAAAATTATCTGATGCCATCTACTGATCATCCAGTAGATGACCCTCTACTGGAACAATGTGGAAAAGAGAAGGTGAATACTTTTCATCCTTAGAGTGTCTAGGTTTGCATCTAGGTCTGTGTGTTTCCATCAGAAGCTCCTGGAATGGATAATAGCAAGAGCAGAAGTCATGTTCATAGAATAACAGAATCACAGAATGACTTGTGTTGGAGGGGACTTTAAAGATCATCCAGTTCCAAACCCTTTGCCATGGGCACTAGGGACACTAGGGACACTAGGCCAGGTTGCTCCTTGCCCTGTTCAACCTGGCCTCGAACACTTCCAGTGTTCCAGTGTTCCAGTGCCCCAGATGGGGCAGCCACAATTTCTCTGGAGCGCTTGTGCCAGGGCTTCACCATCCTCACAGTAAAGATTTTCTAATTGAAAACTCTTTCAGTTTAAAATTATACGTTCTTTAGACTCTGTTTCTTTGTCTTTGTCTTGACCCTTCAGCACTGCCCCACGTGCAGCTGCAGCACACCATGGAAGTGCATATCCACATAGTAAGCAAACTCTTTGGGCATGCTGTGAATGCTCTTTTTGGGAAGCACGTTGTCATAGTAATGATGGGGCAGGGAATGGCCATCTGGATGCAAAGAGAATGGCCAGAATCCATAGAGTGTAATGTGTTGGCACAACTCCAGGGCAGCATTCACTAGAATGAAACCAGAGGAGAGGCGATAGACATGAAAACCATGATCACGCCAGTACTTGCTTAGAGCACTCAGATACTGAGGGTGGAAGAAAATGACGTGAGACTGGGAGCCAGAGTCCTCTAAGGCATAGAATGCTCGGTAAGAAACCTCACTAAGTCCAGGGAAGGAGAAAGCTGCGATGAGAAACCAAGTCTTTCCGTAGAAAGATGCTGCCTTCACAAACGGCAGGCGTCGACCAACCAGACCCCGAAACCTGTGAGGCAAGAGATGTGGGACTGTCACCCTCTGCCAACACCATCCTCATTCCCTCCTACCTTCTTATGCTATTCAGCCCCAAAGCAGTGAAATAACAGTTGTACTCTTTACCTCCATTTTCTCTTACTATGTGCCTTTTGGGTGATCTGAGTCCCAGATCCTGAGGTGTACCTAACACAGACCAGAGGAGCTGCTTGAAAATACCCAGAAAGTTTGATAGTGAGCTGCTGGTTAAAATGCTGGAAAGAGATCTTCAAATTTAAAACCTTCATGGTCCCACAGCTCAAAATTCATGGAGAATGGTGTCCCATACTGGTGGAGCAGAGGGCTAGGAGAGAGTTGATGCCACCTGCTTTTAGACATCTACTACACAGATATCTACATCTGAGCTAATTGCCCAAATGTCTTTTTTAGTCACTGGAGGGAAAGAAGTACAGCTGGATCACATCCTGATCTGTCTTATTTTACATGTCTGCTGTAGGACAAGTAGTACCTATATTCTTCACTAAATATGGCAGCTAGGTGAGATTGAATAGTTCCCATCAGAGCTCCTCCCAACAGCAGCAGCTGGGAGCCCCTCTGCTCGTCTTGATGTCACCCTCGAGAGGATCAGCTCACTGGAATGACTGGAAATTCTATTAATCTCTAGTAATAAGATAAAACAATCAGTCTTGATCAAACTCTGCTCCAAATAACTCCAAGGCTTGCAGTATTCCTCTGTATACTTCTGCATAGAGGGGAGAATCTCATGTCAGTAAATGTCGGTAGCTTTTTTTTGGACAAGCCTTGCATGGTAGCAAAGGCCTGTCTGTTTTCTGGGACTCAGGGCAGAGGCAAAAGACATTGCCTCTTCAAGACCATAGTGTGTGGGGGAAAAGAAAGTTAGGAGTCCTGTCCTCTGTTTTCACTACCACACCTATTACCTTGTGTTAAGGATACTTGGGTTCACAGTGGCAATATTTGTCTTTCTGCCCACATCATCAGGGAAGTCCATAGAAGGCAGGTTAAACCTGATTGAGGTGATAAGCAAAGGAAGGAAATGAGAAATAATGTTCTATGATATCCTGAGATCTTACCCATCCCTCTATCCACAATTTCCCCAGCCCCTCACCTTCAACCCCACTCAGAACATTTCCTCTGTCTCCATTTTCTCTACCAACACCCTATTCCCATGAAAGCTCCCTCCTCTGGCCAGTGTCTCATGGACAGGCTGGCAGCAATTACCTGATTACAAATTCGTGCTCATCAATTTTAGAGCCACAGCTACTATTCCTGAGGATTCCTCCATTTCCCACTACAGCACAAGTTTTGTAGAGACCATCCTGAAAGGGGGATTTCTGTAAAGAATATCATGTAGAAATGCACTTATCCTTACAGAATTACGGTAAAGACCTACCACGGATCCTCCAACTGGACACACTCCAGGGTGTACAAGAGGAAAGCATGCAGACTGTGAGTTGTAGTCTCCACCATAAAGCACTCCTACCTTTGGCAGGATCTCCAGCAACCCACTGCTAACTTTTAAGCTCTTGGAGCTGCTGGCATCATAGAACAGTCTGGAGTCCAGGGGTGCATTTTCCTGTGTCACAGCCAGCCAGGCCGAGGCATTGCAGCAGCACCCCAGCTCTGCCCTGTAAGGGCAGAGAGTGAGCAGAAGTCTGGGGGAAGAATGAAGGAGGACTGCCACAGGATAAAGAAGGAGAGAGGGCTGAGAATGAGAGCAGAGGGCTAGGCAAGGTGCTACAGTAGAAGCAGAAGTAGAGGATTAGGTAAACAAGTAGCACAGTGTAAAGGGACAAAAAGCTCTGCGAAGTACAGGGAACCCAAAGGAGGCATTGTGTCAAGTTAGAACAACTTCTGTCATACGCTCTCTGTTCATCCATCTCCACGCATCCTTCATTTTCTTCCTTCTCATCCACACACACTTCCAGAGTATTCTCTCTCTGTTTTCCACTCTGTAGCCCAGTCACAGTTCCAAAGCCTTTCCTGTTTGCTTCAGCCTCAGCTTCACTCTTGACCCACGCTTGCATTCAAGCCCTCTTCTCATAGCTTAGATGTGTGAGATAAAAGGCCAGCATATGGGATGCGACAGGGTAACAAGCGTTATGCAAGGAGGGTGGGTATGGGTGTGTCTGCATTTTTCGTCCTGACAATGTGACCTGGAGAACAACATCTCTTTAGATACGATTGTAGGTGTAGGCAGTCATGCAAGGATCAATCTAATAAAAAAATCTGGGCAGGCATTCACCCAAAACTCATCATGCAAAAGAAGATGACCAAGAGACTGTTGGAGTAAAGAAGGAGTCACCTGAAACAAAATATGAATGAAACATGACCATTTTTCATGAGGGTCGAAAAAGAGCAGCAGCCCAAACTTGATCTGGCTGTGCCAGAAGTTGCCTCACCAGCACAACATCTGCCAGGGCCAGGCAGAGCAGCTTCACGGTCAAATGTTGTGCAGAGCCTGCGTGCAGCCTGTCAGCACTGGGTGCAGCAAGCAGGGACCCACTGCATGGACAGTGTGCATATCTGGATTCAAGCTTGTGTACTGGAGAGAAAAAGGGGTTCCTACAAATCTAGAGCACACAGACACGCTGTGAAGAGGATTTGCTTGTAAGTGTGTCAATAAGTGCGGCTCTGTGTGTTTAGAATTTCTTGGGCTAATTTGCAGAAGGGTGTTAAGAAATTTGTAGTTGTATATTGACAATTTTGTAACCGTCTTAACATTTTGGTTTATGTGCTTCCTTATTGATATTTGATCCTGAATTTCTAGTTCACCCATTTTGGGTTAAGCATGTGTCATCATTAAATTAATAAACCACTTTGGTCATGATTTTGTTGAAGTAGGTGAACTGAGTAGCTTTTCTCTGTGACTGGTGGGAATCACCTGTATTTGGCCAAGGCAGTAGCGTTGAACTTCCAGCGGCAGCTCTGCATTAATTTCAGGTGTTCCAGGCTCCAAACCTCATTCACCCTAGGGCAGAAAGAGCTTGTAAGAAAGCGACTTGAATGCTCTCACAAAGACTTGCTGAAAACAAATGACTCTGTTGCATCCCTTCCTACACCCTGGGCCTTCACTGAGGCTGCCAGGTGACCCTGTCAAGATAGTTGCCCGTCTGCCACTGCCCAGCACACTTGCAGCCATGACTCTCACCTCTGAGGCTGTGTTATGTTGCTCAATAGTCCTTGACATGCTTCTGCTTCTGGAGCATCGACGTCAGGTCTGTGAAAAAAAACGAAGGGTTAAACTGAGCCAGAATACCATGTCCTCACACAGCTTTCCTCCATTGCTCCACCCCAACAGTCCTGTATCCCAATATCTCCCCTTGGCCATCTCCTGGCACTGCCTGCCACCACCCCAACCCTGAGATATTCACCTGAAACAACCATAATTGCATCCTTTTGCTACGCCTATTTCCTCTCCTACCCTATTGATTCCTCCGCTGGAGGCCTCCTGGAGACACTCTCCATGTTCCCACTTCCTTTCCAGGGGAGGGGGAACACAGTTTCTCTACCCTCTCCCTCACTTACATGCTTTGGAACACCATAAATCTCATGGAGACAAATGAGACTAGAGCTACAGCCAGCAACAGGACCCATAACTTGTGCATCTTCAGCCGTTCTGGCTTGACATACACCTCCCTGGTGATGCTGTTTGTCATTTGGAGGGGGGAATGAAGCACAGGAAGGCCGTCAGCTTGTTGGAGTGACTCCAGAAGAGGCTGTGAAGTTGATGAGAGGGCTGGAGTACCTCTGCTGTAAGGAAAGGCTGAGAGAATTCAGATTTTTCTGGACTTCCAGTATCTGTAGGGAGCCTGCAAGACAGATGGATATAGACTATTTACAAGGGCCTGGAGTGACAGAACAAGGGGGAATGGCTTCAGACTGACAGAGAGCAGAAATCAGATATTAGAAAAAAATCTTCCCTATGATGGAGGCCCTGGTGTAGGTTGCCCAGAGAAGCTGTGGCTGTCCCATCCCTGGAAGTGTTCAAGGCCAGGTTGGACAGGGCTTGGAGCAACCTGGGCTAGTGGAAGGTGTCCCTGCCCATGGCAGGGGGGTTGGAACGAGATGATCTTTAGGGTGCCTTCCAACACAAACCATTCTGTGATTCTATGATTCAGTGTATTGAGAGCAGACCAGTGGTAAAGTATTTGGGGATATTGGTGGGTGAAAAATTAGACTTGAGCTGTCAGTGTGCACTTGGAATTGTGTGCTGGGTTGCATAAACAGGAGCATGACCAGCAGGTTGATGGACATGATTCTCTCTGCTCTTGTGAGAGTCCAGCTGCAGTACTGAATACAGCTCTGGGATCCCAGCACAAGAAAGACATGGACCTCTTAGAAGAAGTCCAGAGGAAGGCACAAAAATCAGAGGGCTGAAATACCTCTTCTATGAAGAAAAGTTGAGAGAGTTGCAGTTTTGCAGACTGGTGAAGACAACTCACCAGGGAGACATTAATGCAGTATTTTAATGGTGTAAGATGAGTTGTAAGAAAAATGGAGAAAGATTTTTTACTAGGGTCTGTAGTGACAAGAGTGATGGCAATGGTTTATAACTGAAAAAGTTATACTGGATGTAAAAACGAAATATTTTTGATGAGGGTGATGAGACACTGGAATAGGTAGCTCAAAGAAGTTGTGGTTACCCCAGTCACTAGAAGTATTCAAGGCCATGTGGACAACAAGGCTTTGGACAACTTGATCTAGTGAAATATATCCTGCCCATGGTAGGGGGATTGAAATAGATTATCTTTGGCAGTAACTTCCAACCCAAATCATTCTGTAATCCTATGAATCTTTCATCATATGATTCTATTAAGATGGAAGCTATAGATTTATGAGGATTGTAATATGATCAGGAGTGGCCTGTTCACAGGGAAAATAAACTTATTTTTGCCACTGTTGCTCAACTATGAAGTCTATTTCCCGAAACTGGGATCCAACTAGAACAGCCAAGCAAAATAAATGTAATCACAATGTTGGTTTCATTGCTGCCAGTGCACTGCTTGTTTCCTGGCTTTGTTTTTTTGGGGGATTTTATCGAGTGAGGGTAGGTTCAGGGTAGGTTTGGGCTTCTTTTTCTTTTTTCTTTCCCGAGCAACAGCTTTTTTCAGATGAGAGTAATATTCTCTTTAGGGTCCTTGATCTGGGTAAGGATATTGTCAGCTCCCTGAATTCGGAAAAGTTGAGAGGATATAATGCCTGCCTGTCTCCCCTGCACCTGGAATGGGCAAATGAAAATTTGTGTAACCCTGAGGCTGTGGTTAAATGAGTAAATGTAGTGTTAAGTGAACAAAAGTTATGAAAGGGGGAAGGTAATGCAATTTTATGAGCAATTTTGGGAGTGGCTTTAATCACTGCCCAAAATGAGAAATATGCCAACAAACGGGTAGAGGGAGAAATGATTGGACCTCTGCAGCATTTGGGGAAAAGATTGCAGGATCAGTTAGACGAGGAGAGAGAAAGCCACCTTTGGGAGAAAGAGTTGCTTCTTGCTGGGAACAACCAGTAAAAAGAAAAGAGGCTGCAGGCAGAGGAGCTGCTTGCTGCTGAGCAGAGTCATGAGAGGGAGAGAATGCTGCAGGCAGAGGCATTTCTTGTTGCAACCTCAGGAGAAGCTTGAGGATATGGGGTGAGGGAAAATTTTACAGGGGGGAATTGCAGGGTTTAAAGTCTGAACCATTTGCAGAAATACCCTCTCATAATCGTAACTTTTTATATCCAATTAAGGAGTTGGAAGACTGTAAAGCAGTCTATGACCCTGACAAAAAGGCATAATATTTGCACAGTCTTCTGATGATGAGGAAGTAGCATTACAACCCCCAACCAAAACCGAACACACAGGTGATGGTCAGCAAATTGCTACTAAAGTGGTGCTGTATATGGAATACCAAAGATATCAAAGATATCAGAGTTGCAGGAAAAGTATAGCAGACTTCCACAAGATGAAAACATATGGGTGATCCAGACAACAGAGAACTAGGGAATGATGATTTCTTACGTCCTTCAGCTCCCCTTGGATCTACTACACCTTGCAGTGAAGCAGGAAGTCACACAACAAAAATTACCCCATTCAATCCAATTCAGGTGGCTGATTTGCAAGAGAATTATGTCCATAAATGAGGAGATATTAAAATCCAGCGAGTGGTATCCTATCAATGTATACATAATAATTCTAATTCCAGTTAGTTCTCATCAGCAGTTAATTAAATTTCTAATAGATACAGGAGCACATTCAATACTGACACAGTTGGATGCCAAGGAGCTGGTTGTACAACCTGGATGGCAAAGACTGGAGTAAATGGAGCAAACGTTATCTGCCAAGCTGCTAAGATTAATATATGGCTCTTGGGTAAGAAGCAGATGTCAACTACTCACTTTGCAGTTGAAGTCCATATTGCAAACTTTTTGTGTTTCAATGTTCCCAACAATGGAAGGCAGTGCGTGTGTGTTGAACATTAACCTTGAAAGAAACCCAGAGACATCTGTGTGCTCACTTCACATGATGCCTGAACTCCCTGATTCAAGGACTGCTGGTGCACCACAGTGCTGGACTTTTGCTGTGCCTCAAAGCGGAACTTCTGAAGTTCTAATTGATTTGGCCCCACTGTGTCAGCACTGGTACCCAACACTGCAGACCCAACAGCCACAATGCAAGCAGCTGCCATCTTGGGCATTGGTTAGGTGGTGACAGGTTTGGAGAAAAGAGCTATGATCACTCACATCCTCCTTCCAATTCTCGTGTCTGGTTCAGTGAAAGAGCCAAAGAGACAGACGTGGCTTACTGTTTACTGCAGGTAACTGAATGTCAACACTGCACCTTTAAGTACTGCTGTGCTGAATTTTATGTGCAATTGGTAACTCAAATTCAGAGAGTGTCCCACTAGGGGAGGGCAACTCTAATTGCAGGAGACCCCTTCCCTGGCCCCCTCCCCCCCCCAAAAAAAAAGGTGGGGGAAGAAGCAGCAGCAGTGTAGCAAGTACTTCATTAAGTAGAAGTTGAGATTCACCTGAGAAATATTAAGGCCAAACTGGTCCTGGCAGACTAAAGAGATCTTTACTATTCAACTCAACTGCATTTCAAGAGACAGAACAGAGATATTCTGAGTGGGAAAAAGGACTTTTGTCATTACTCCAAGCTGTTAAACAGTTTGAGCCACCAAGGGGTAGCCTGTCTGGACAAACCCCACCAAGACTTGTGTTGTTTTGTCTTTCCAGAATTGATACCAGCACACCCTCATTGAAGATCAAGTTAACTAACCATCAGAGGACAACTCATCGTTCTTACAGGAGCAACCATTGCCAGCACAAACTAAATTTGGTTCACACATCAACAAGCTCGATCCATAGGGTGGAGACCCCTCCCTTCTTTTATTTATGCAAATCAGTGTGGTAACTATAGCATATTCTGCACCACACATGCTTCTCAGTTGTGAGTGCAATTTACTGTGACATTAACTATTAAAGAAGGAGAGGAAAGTAATTTACCCACTTAAATTCAAAAGGTATCCTGGGATAATGCAACTAAATTGGAAAGGGAATTCCACTCTTGGTGGTAACTAGTTTATTTCCCTTATGACCCCACCAACAGTAAAGCCACATATTTTGCTTTAACAGCACATAATGCTTTGATATTTACTATATACCCAGTCATTTTGTCAGTAAATTATAACATAGCTGTATTCTATACCCTGGAGCACAGAGTCATACCTGTGCTCTGGTGGAATGGATGTGCCTCTATGAGAACCCCTTGTGATTTTGTACTTGTAGACAACCTTACTGTAGCTACAAGTAATGACTCTTATATTTGTGCCTGTTACTTTGTTGAAATTATGGATGTAGTTTTTGTTATTCAGCTCTTTTTTGTTTTGTTTTTTTTCTTTCTTTCTTTCTTTCTCTTTCTTTCTCTTTCTTTCTTTCTTTCTTTCTTTCTTTCTCTCTTTCTTTCTCTTTCTTTCTCTCTTTCTTTCTTTCTTTCATTTTTCTCTCCCTGTTTAACTAATTTCTTTTTTCCCCTCTTCCTTTTCTTCTTCTGTTCCCACTCCAAATCCATAGGGTTAAAAAAATCAGTTTCAGTAAAATAAAAATATATGGAATCTAAACCCAAGAACAGTAAAGCTCACATACCTTTTACACCAAGAAGGCTCTGAGGTACATCTCTTTGTTTCTGTAGCTGGGTTCAAATACAGTCATACCTGGGCCGGTAGAGTTTTTCTGCAGCTCAAACCTTCAAACAATCTGGAACTGCCCTTTCAGGGGGAGGAGATACAATGGTTTCCTTCTGCTTGAGTGACTCATACATTTCTTCAAAATCAGAACTAACTTATGGGAAGTCCTCCTCCTGACGGTAAGTGCTTGGTGCAATTATGTCCAGACCAAAAGCCCTTCTGGATCAGGTTTTCCACAGTCTTATGAAGTTTAACAAAGGGAAGCATGTGGGTCGGGGCAACCCTGCATGTATGGACAGA